GAACTTAAACCACTGTAATTCTAAGCCAGAATAATATCCTTCCTATTTATGAAAATGGCTTGCCTCTGCTTTTTTGCTTTAGTAACAGAAAGTGGATACTTTTTAAAAAATAAAAATTTGCTTTACTTTTTACTTGAAAGGCAGATTTAGAGGGAAAGAGAAAGAAAGAGGGAGAGAGAGATCATGCATTCACTGGTTCACTCCCCGCATGGCCACAACGGCAGGAGCTACGCTGATCTAAAGCCAAGAGCCAGGAGCTTCTGGTTCTCCAATGCGAGTGCACAATCCCAAGGACTTGACCATCTTGCACTGCTTTCCCAGTCCACAAGCAGGGATCTGAATGGGGAGCAGAGCAGCCACAACACAAACCAGCACCCATATGGGATCCCAGGACTCAAAGGTGGAGTATTAGCCAACTGGGCTATCATGCCAGCCCCCAGCTTATTATAGATAGATAGATACATACATACATACATACATACATATAGAGATATACACACACACATATATATGCCACAATACAGGCCCCACACTCTGGGTCTTATGTTCATATTGAATTAGTTTTTACATATGGTATGTGGTAAGGTCCAACTGTTCTGAATGTATTTTCCTGTTTCTGCATACTAGGCGAATGCTTGTTTTCCATTTATTGCTGCAGTAAAATATAGACAGCAAAATCTGCCTTGTAAACCATAAGTGTGCAATTCAGTAGCTAATTGTCTTCAAAATTTTGTGCAGTCATCACTACTACATAACTTTTCATCATTCACAAACTGTGCCAATGAAGCAATAAGCAGTAAATCTTTATTCTCCTCCTCAAGCCCATGGTGATTTCGAATTGACCTTTTGCAATTGGCAACAGGGGAATCTAAACATCTGATTTTGTGTCTCAGTTGCTCTGTTTCTGATCCAGTTCCCTGCTAATACCCCTGAGAAGGCAGTGGGAAGGGGGTCCAAGTGTTTGGACCCCTGCCTCCCACAAGGAAGAGTTGAATGGATTTCCAGACACCTGGCTTTGGGCTGGCTAGCCTGGGCACTGTGGCCATTTGGGGAATGATTCAGCAAATGGAAGATCTCTCTCTCCCTCTCTCTGTAACTGCCTTTCAGTTAAGGTGTTTTTTTAAATATTTGAATATGTGTATATAGGAAAAAAAAACAGGATATGGAAAGTCAGTAATCTAGTTTCCATATCAGAACTAAAGAAATAAGAGTAATATAAATCTAAAGCAAGCAGAAGAACTGATAAAATCCGAACAAAAATATAGAGAATAAAGACAGGGATAAAAAAAGGTAGTTCTTAAAAAAAAAAAAAAGACAAACCTCTATCAGAGGAGTCGAAAAGAGAAGATACAAGTTGGTGTCAGAACTGGAAGCGGGGATTGTCGCTGGCATCACTAGTACTATGAACAACATTCTGTTTAAGAACACAGGAACATGTAAGAACTGGACCCTTCCCTTTAAAGACACAATTTACTGAAACTCAAAGAAGGAGGTCGATAGTATGAATAGACCCAAACCTAGAAAAGAAACTGAATCAACAACTAGACTAGAAACCCAGATGAAATGGATGAAGTGTTAGACAGAAATGCCTTTCCAGGACTGAATCATGAAGAAATAGAACAACAAGCCCAGGACTGGAAGACTTCCTTGAAAAAAGAAAAAAAAATCCTACCTTTGAAGCACTAACGCCAGGGCCAGCGTGTGATACAATGGGCTGAACCAACCAGTGACAGTGCCAGCACCCCAGGATCAGAGGGCCGGTTCAGCCCTGTCTGTTCCACTTCTGACTCCATTTCCTGCTAACAGGTCTAGGAAGGCAGCTGAGCATAACCCAAAGACTTCATCCCCTGCAAACCACTGGGAAACCTGGATGGAGTTCCTGGCTCTTGGATTTGACTTGGCCAAATCGTTTGTGAACTGAAGTAGATGGAGGAGTTTTTGTCTCTCTCTCTGCCTCCTTCTCTCCCTTCTGTCCTCTCTGTGTTCCTGTTTTTTTCAAACTTTCAACTAAGTTAGCAAATAAATATTTTAAAAATAACTAACACCAATTCTTCCAATGTCTTACCAGAAACTGAAGAGGAAGAAATACTTGCACACCTAGTCTATGGAAAAAGCCATACTGGCACAAAATCCAAACACATTATTACAGCAAAACAAAACATGAATATCCCCCTTTGCAAACATTGGGACGTACTTGAATGTGGACTTCTGGATGATAATAGAGGTTCGGGACTATTGGGCTGGTATCAATGCAATTTACCCTGTGAGACAAACATGGATCATGAGCTTAAGGCTAGGTTTTACATATGTGCCTGTTCCTCAAGGTCTAGTGGGAGGTTTGTATGTCACTGAGGGCCTTCCCTCAGCAGCAGCTAACGCACTTCTCCTGGTCCCTAGTTGGTTCTCAAGAGAAGCCAGGTGGCTGGATTACTCTTCAGATTCCTGTCTTGCCATGTCCATCTTGCATACACTTCCACCATTGTGATGCCATCTGCCACCATGCCTTTCCAAGAGCTAAGCTATGGCAGCAACACATCTTTCAATCTCCAGAATGCTGAATACATTCCTTTTCATTAAAAAGTATCTTGCTCAGGCAGACATTTAGCCTAACAGTTAAGATGTGTGTGACTCACACTAGATGGCCCAGCTCTGGAACTGGACTCCAGCTTTTTAAAAAAATTTATATTTTATTATTTTTTAAACAATGATTACATGGGGCCCGGCACTGTGGCCTAGTGGCCAAAGTCCTGACCTTGAACACGCCAGGATCCCATATGGGTGCTGGTTCTAATCCCGGCAGCCGTGCTTCTCATCCAGCTCCCTGCTTGTGTCCTGGGAAAGCAGTCGAGGACGGCCCAAAGCTTTGGGACCCTGCACCTGTATGGGAGACCTGGGGGAAGTTCCTGGCTCCTGGCTTTGGTTTGGCACAGCACCGGCCGTTGTGGTCATTTGGCTAATGAATCATCAAATGGAAGATCTTCCTCTTTGTCTCTCCTCTTCTCTGTATATCTGACTTTGCAATAAAAATAAATACAGAATGGAGTTCCTGGCTTCTGGTTTTAGCTTGATCTAAATCTGACTTTTGTGGCCATTTGAGGAATGAACCAGCAGTTGGAAGATTTATTGCTTTTCTGCTTTTCCCTAGTTCGCTGCAGCTGTTCCACAAAAACAAATTTTTAAAAATGTATTTAGTTTTTAAAGTTCAGGGAAAATATATGTGCAAAAAACTACACATGGATTTCAATCTTATTTTTTTCTAGAAAGTAAACAGCTTTTGATTTTTCCTGACCAATTTAAGAGTACCTTCATGTACACTTAATACTTCATGTTAAGTACATTCAAAAATGTTTAAAAAGTTTTTTCTAAAGATTTGTTTATTTATTTATTTTTATCAGAAAGGCAGATCAGATTTATGGAGAGAAGGAGAGACAAAGATCTTCCATCTGCTGGTTCACTCCCCAAATGGTAGCAACAGCCAGAGCTGAACCAATCCAAAGCCAGGAGCCAGAAGCTTCTTCCGGGTCTCCCACATAGGCACAGGGTCTCAAAGCTTTCTTCTACTGCTGTCCTCCACTGCTTTCCCAGGCCACAAGCAGGGAGCTGAAAGGAAGGTGAAGCAGCCAGGACATGAATCCCAGCACCAGTAAGGTGAGGATTTAGCCATTAAGCTATCGCCCTGTGCCCAAAAATGTTAAAATGTTACATTGTATGTATATTTTACCAGATTAAAAAAAATGCTTCTCTTAAGGAGATTTTAAAAATAAGACATTAAAAAATAATTCAACAGATAAAAAAATGTACCGTAAGTTTTCAAAAACAAAGTCTAAACTCATTCTTACATTGATTGCTGAAGTATTAAACTGGAATGTAAAGTGAAATCAGAACATAACTTTACAGGTAAAATAAAGATTAAGTAATGAAAGTCAATAGGCATCAAAAGAAAAGATTATTACCCCAAGGATACTTAAGATTAACTGTAAGCATACTGTAAGTATACCTTAACATAGTGATAAGTCAAAGAGAAAAGTAGGGGCTGGTGCTAGGGCTTAGTGTGTAAAGCTGCTGTCTGTAGCACTGGCATTTCACATCACACTGCTCCATTTCTGATCCAGCTCCCTGCTAACACACCTGAGAAAACAGCAGAGGACGGTATAAGTGCTTGAGCACCTACATCCAGGACCCAGGAGAAGCTCCTGGCTCTTGACTTCAAACCAGCTCAGCTCAGCCATTATGACCACTGGGGGAGTGAACCAGCACTCTCTGTAACTCTGCTTTTCAAATAAATAAATATACTTTTTTAAAAAGGGAGAGACAGAAAAGAAGACAACAATAACAGCATAAAATGGAGTGGCATTTGGAAAAAGTGATAAACCTCTAACATAGGAATGTATTTAAACACAATACAGTTTTTGCTCACAACCAAAAGCAAACATTAGACTCATTAATGTGAAATGTTGATATAAATTCCACTAAACTGGATGCTCTCTTTGAGCCAGCCACCCTTTCCAAAAATAAGTTTCACAGAAATCTTTTAAAATGTCCTTCACTCTAAGATTCTGTGCATTTGGTCAGTTGACATGAATTCCTCATTAGGACTAGGAAAGCTTTTATAAATAAAGCATAAAAACACACAGCATTTCTACATTCTCTGAATATTCCTTTAATGTGAATATACCGAAAATCCACAAATAGAAAATGTCAATAAAGGTTTTTCATGTTATGAAAAACACCATAACTCTTAGAATGTGAACAATATTTTAGGTCCTAAGTAAAAATATTGACATACTTTTTTATATTTCCAAGAGTTCCCACAGTACAAATTATTTAATGTCTTATACACCAAAAGACATCTAAAGCATTCCCACATTCATTCAACTATTTCCTCCATTATAAATTTACCACACATCATATATGTACATATACATGAATATGTGCCTTCATAAGGCCTTTATATCCTTAAGGGATCTCTCGAGTATGAATCCTCTGGTGTACTTTAAGACTTGATTTATAGCTGAAAGACTTCCCACATTTCTTACATTCAAATGGCTTCTCACCTCTGTGAATGCTCTGATGTCGAGTAAGTCTTCCACACACACTATAGGCCTTCCCACACTCCTTACACTCATAGGGTTTCTCTCCTGTATGAAGTCTATGGTGGATGACAAGTTGATGGCCACTCCTGAAAGTCTTCCCACACTCTTTACATTCATAGGGTTTCTCACCTGTATGGAGTCTATGATGTACTTTAAGGCTTTCGACATGAGTGAAGGCCCTCCAACACACCTTACACTCATAGGGTTTCTCACCGGTATGGATGCGTTGATGCTTAACAAGGCTTGAGATACAACTCAAGGCCTTTCCACATTCTTTACATTCGTAGGGTTTCTCACCCGTATGAATTCTCTGGTGCATCTTAAGACTTCCATCATGAATAAAGGCCTTCCCACATTCTTTACATTTATAGGGTTTCTCACCAGTATGAATTCTCTCATGGCGAATAAGTACAGAGGCATGACTGAAGGCCTTCCCACACTTGTTACACTCATAGGGTTTCACACCTGTGTGTGTTCTCTGATGCGGGGTAAGTTGGTACACGTGAGTAAAGGTCATCCCACAGTCTTTACACTTATAAGGCTTCTCCCCAGTATGAATTCTCTCATGTTGAACAAGATTTGAAGCACGACTGAAGGCTTTCCCGCACTCTTTACATCTGTAGGGTTTCTCACCAGTATGGATCCGATGATGCACTCTAAGATCTATAACCCGACTGAAGGTCATCCCACACTCATGGCACTCATAGGGTCGTTCTCCAGTATGAATTCTGTCATGCTGCATAAGGTAAGAGGCTTGACTGAAGGTTTTCCCACATTCCTTACATTCATAGGGTTTCTCACCAGTATGAATTCTCTGATGTATTTTAAGTCCTCCACGTTGACTAAAGGCCTTCCCACATTCATGACACACATAGGATTTTTCACCAGTGTGAACTCTACGGTGCTGAGTCAGGTAGGAGGCACGACTAAAGGCCTTCCCACACTCTTCACATTCATAGGGCTTCTCACCAGTATGAATTCTTTGATGCACTCTAAGGTCTATGCTACGACTGAAGGTCATTCCACATTCTTCACATTTGTACGGCTTTTCACCAGTATGAATTCTCTGATGCTGCAGAAGATTGGAGGCCCGATTGAAGAGTTTTCCACACTGCTGACATTCATAGAGTTTCTCACCAATGTGAACTTTGTGATGTTCTGTAAGGTCTGTATGATGAGCAAAGCCCTTCCCACATTTCTCACATTGGTAGAGTTTCTCTCTATTAAGGATTTCTTCATAAAGAGTAACAGATGGATGTTTTGTATAGATACGTACTTTTCCATGGTTAACTATTTCACATTTTGGCTTCAAATCTAAAAGGAATAAGAAAAACATATTTTTCTGGACCAAAGTAAATGTTCTATAGATATCTTTTTTTGATTGAAAAGGTCACCAATTTCAAAAGAATACTTGAAAGCCCCCTACATAATTTGTAAAAGTTATTGATAATATCTTTTTAACCCTAATGTATCACTCTGTGCTACATTGCTTAGATGTATTCTTTGTATGAGTTCCCACATAAAATGGAAACAAATGGTCTCAAAGAAACTATATCCTCTTTCAAAATCCAATTACTGTTTTTCATTCCCTCTCATGTGCATCAATAAGAAGTTCTTGTCATTCTCCAACAAAAATAATGATTTTCATTTCTTTGCTAACTGTGCCCTCTGCTTTATTCCTTTGTGTCTTTTTTCAAGTCCCTGTTCATTTTACTTTTTACTCAAAGTTGATTATGCTGATAATGTCCAGAAGCACATATCAATGAGTTTTCACAAATATACTGAGCTTGCATGTACTGAGAGAAAGAATTTTAAATCTTTGGCTGTCTTGGGGAACTCAACTAAATGGTGAAGCAATGTAGAAGAATTCCAGGTAGTAGATGAAAAAGAATGCAAGGATTTATTGTGAAGGGTAATAAACTGCAAGAAATAGCTAGAGAAAATTTGAAAATGCTCAATGAGTGGGCTGACTTAGGACCAATAAATAATTCAATGTGACTGTAGGAACACTCTCCAAATTATAGTATCTGCAGAAATTCATAACATAAAACTAAAAAACTTCCATGTGAAAACGGAAATGCAATCTCCAAAAAAAAAAAAAAAAAAAACCTGCTAAGTCATTCTAAATAAAAACATGAGAAAAAAACTAACTACAAAGGACAACAGAAAATTATATGGCAGAACCTGAAGCATTCAACAGTTAGAGAACTCAAGAATTTGACAAATCATCTCAATAAAAATGAACAAAGTAAGTAAGGTATGCATCTGATCAAAAATTTATGAAATAAACAACTGAAAGTGACAAGATAAAAATATAACAGGTTGCAAATCAGTATTAACAAACAAGTCAAAGAGCTGGTGCCTGAAAAAAGTCAGTACAATAGGTAAAACCGTGGAAAGCGAACAAAACAACCAAGAAGGAAACGACAAATGGAAAATATGAGATCAAAGGGATTTTGTACTATGCACTTTTAAAACACATCATGAATTCTTTAATAACTTTCAAGGCAGAAAAATGAAATGGGTACTCTTCAAGAGAAAATCTTCAAAATTAGCCACAGAATAGTAAGCCCAAACAGGTCCAGGTATAGAAAAAGCTGTCAGGAAACATTCACGCCCTGAGCACCCTTTCACTCCTGAACTGTAACTTGTAAATGTCAATCTGTAATAAGCAGATGCAAAACAGTTAGACAAAGGGACAATTTCAGATGGTGGCAAGCTAGGCCAGCCTAGAAATCTCGTGTCGTAAAGAGATGGAAACTTCAAAAACGTGAAAAAAAAAGATTGGCAAAACCTGAAAACAATAACATAAAAATGACTGTGGTAGAAATAAAATAAACAATGAGTCAACTATGATATTTATAAAAAAGAAAAAAATGACTCCGTAACTGAGGAAGTTACAGTTCCATCATGGTAGCATTAGCCCTCTAAAAGTCCATCTTCTAGAGGTTAGGCTGCTTGCCACACTCCATGGGAGCCCAGGTTTAAATCCTGTTGCTCTATTACTGATCCAACTGTGATAATGCATCTGGGAAAGCAACTGAGGATGACTCAAGTTCCTGGGACTGCCATCCATACGGGAGACCACGATGGAGTTCCAGGATCCAGGCTTTAGCCTGGCATACACCCAATTATTATGGTTATTTAAGGAGTGAAACAGCTGAAGGTCTCTGTCTCTCCCTCTCTTTGCAACCCTGCCTTTCAAAGAAGTAAAAATAATTTTTTTTTTAAAATCCATCTCTGAATAACATAAACTAAAAAGGCTTGATGAGATAAATCAACTACCTGATATTAGCAATTAAGAGTAAACAAAACAGGAGGTCTACAGAGAGAAGCCAAAACCCTAAAAAGTGATCTGGCCTTAGCCTCTTGCTGTTTTTTATAACACTCAGGGCTTTGTTCCAAGGGCAATGCTGTGCAGGAAGAACGGGCAGCAAAAGCTCCAATGCATTTCTTGCTACAAACATGAAGGTAAGAAGCACCATCCAACTGGAAAGTGAGGTGGCATTATGGAGAAAAACATTCAAGATTTCCTAGTTTTAGATATAATCATCTCATACCTTGTAAAAGAAATATGAAAAACAAGCCTTAGTTTAATGCTAAATTTAATGTGCATGGGAAAGACACAATCCAAAGTAGCAAAGCATTGAAAAAAAACAAACTGAGGGGAAGGAGAGAGGACAGCACGATGGTTCAACCACTAAATTCTCACCTTGCAAGTGCTGGGATTCCATATGGGTGCCAATTTGTGACCCAGCTGCTTTACTTCCTATCCAGATCCCTGTTTGTGGCCTGATGGCCCGGGAAAGCAGTGAAGGCTGGACCAAAGCCTTGGGACCCTACACCCATATGGGAGACCCAGAAACAGCTCCTGGCTCCTGGTTTCAGATCGGCTCAGCTCCCGCCATTGCGGCCACTTGAGGAGTGAACCAGTGGATGGAAGATCTTTCTGTCTCTCCTGTCTCTGTAAAGCTGCCTTTTCAATTAAAATAAATAAATCTTAACCAAAAATCAAACATAGAATTAAACCACTGCCTGCAAAGAAATATATATCTTAAAATCCGACTGCTTTGCTTCTTAAAAAGTATTAATGTAAAAGCTAGCTAGCAATATTTTCAAGAGGAGTGAATATAATGCAGAAATCACACACACACACAATGTCTGACAAAACCCAAATCATTCAATCTACAAAGAACCAAATAAACATGGAGGGAAGGGTGTGTGCATTCATGTATTCTTAATGACTGAAATAATAGAAAATATTACTAAAGAAAAAGGAAGCCACGTAAGAACAAAGCGGAAACTAAAAACTGTATTTTCTGTAATTGTTTATAGTAGGAGGGAAATCACAGAGGGAGCAGTGTACTTGATGGACATAGAGGTAGTATTCAAGTTGGACTTTATAGACAATATAGGTCCCAAGGCTTTGGGCCATCCTTGACTGCTTTCCCAGGATACAAGCAGGGAACTGTATGGGAAGCGGGGTTGCCGGGATTAGAACCGGAACCCAGGGCCGGACATGGTGGCCTAGCGGCCAAAGTCCTGGCCTTGAACATGCTAGCATCCCATATGGGCGCTGGTTTTAATCCGGGCAGCCCTGCTTCCCATCCAGCTCCCTGCCTGTATCCTGGGAAAGCAGTCAAGGATGGCCCAAAGCCTTGGGACCCTGCACCTGTGTGGGAGACCTAGAAGAAGCTCCTGGCTCCTGGCTTTGGACTGGCTCAGCTTCAACCAGTATGGTCACTTGGGGAGTGAATCATCAGATGGAATATCCTGCTCTCTGTCTCCCCTCCTCTCTGTATATCTGACTTTACAATAAAAATAAAATAAATCTTAAAAAAAAAAAAAAAAGAATCAGTGCCCATATGGATTCCAGCACATGCAAGGATAGGACTTCAGCTCCTAGGCCACCACACCAGACTCAACATTTAAATTTTTTATAATCCAGATTAGACTAATTTAACTGCCTAGTATATCAAAATTTTCTACTATTAGTTCCATGTCTTCTCCCATATCATGTACTTTTTAGCATTTTTAAACACAATTAACATGAGCTACAAAATCATGAATTTAGCATATTACTCCATGACTCCATTATAAAGACTGTAAAAGAATTTGATTCATAAAGTCTAACAAAAGGGCCAACATCAACTGATAAAATAGACCTTATAAGAATAAAATAGCAGATAATGAAAAAAGTCTTCCAGTTTCCAAACTAGAGCAAAATTATAATACTCTATAAAACCAACACAAAAAGATTTTTAAGAAGTGCCATGAAAAAATGAGACAACAGGGGTTGACATAGTTATAAAGCATGTTGAGCTGCCACCTGTGATGCCAGCATCCCATATGAGGGCCTGGTTAAGTTCCAGCTGTGCTACTTCCAATCCATAACTCTGATAATGTGCCTGGGAAAGCAGTGGAACATAATCCAAGCACTTGAGCTCCTGCCACCCACATGGGAGACCCAGATGGAATTCTGGCTTCCTTGCTTCATTGTGCCCCAGATGCGACTACTGCTATTTGGGAAGTGAAGTAGTAGATGCAAGATCTTGCTCTCTCTTCCTCCCATGGTCTCTGTCACTCTGCTTTCAAATTAATTAATTTTTTAAAAGAACACCCACAAAAACATCATAATTATAAAACTCATAAAGGAAGTAACAGAGCTCAGAACTACAATTGGTATAAGAAAAAAAATTAAGAATGCTAGCCTAGAAAGAAGATAAATCCAAAAGATTAACATTTCGACAAAAAAATTTTTTTAAAAGCAAATACTTAATGTCTATAATGAAGTGAAATAGCTTATCAGTCTCTATTATAGAATCTAATGTCTTATAATAAAGTCTTAATTTTTTTAAGATAATGGCTATAAAAAATTACATCAGCTCATGGAAGAGTCATAGTTATTAATCAATGACAACACTTTGTTTGATCTGATCCCTCATAATTTACTGATTTCCTATATTGTTACTCATCCTTCAATAACCCTAACCTACCTCCTTTCTTCAAACATGCAACACTCTTGCCTGGAGCAGTTGTTGTATATGAGCATGTTAAGCAACTGCTTGGGACACGCACATCCTATACCCAAGTGCCTGGGATGGAGTCTCTATTTTCAATCTGACTTCTTTCTTTTTTATTTTTTTAATATTTATTTTATTATTTTTTATTGGAAAGGCGGATATACAGAGAGGAGAGACAGAGAGGAAGATCTTCCGTCCGATTATTCACTCCCCAAGTGAGCGCAACGGCCGATTCTATGCCGATCCGAAGCCAGGAGCCTCTTCCGGGTCTCCCGCACGGGTGCAGGGCCTCAAAGCTTTGGGCTGTCCTCGACTGCTTTCCTGGGCCACAGGTGGGGAGCTGGAAGGGAAGCAGGGCCACCGGGATTAGAACCGGTGCCCATATGGGATCCCGGGCGTGCAAGGCGAGGACCTTAACCACTGCACCACCGCGCCGGGCCCCTGACTTCTTTCTAATACATGAGCTTCCTTGGTGCTCATGAAGAACAGAATCTGGAAATGAGCTGTGTCCAGGATTATCAGTAAGATGTTGCACTACAAACAATAATGCATGTCAATGAAATTGGAAGGGCTCAATAGCTAAATCCTCACCTTGCAAGCATTGGGATCCCATATGGGTGCTGGTTCGTGTTCTGGTTACTCTACTTCCCATCCAGCTCCCTGCTTATGGCCTGAGAAAGCGGTCGGGGATGGCACAAAGCCTCGGGCCCCTGCTCCTACATGGGAGACCCATAAGAAGCTCCAGACTCCTAGCTTTGCATTGGCTCAGTCCTGACCATTGCAGCTATTTGGGGAGTAAACCAGCAGACGGAAGACCTTTCTCTTTCTCTCTCTCTCCATAAATCTGATCTGCTTTCTAATTACAAAAGAAAAAGAAAAAGACTGAAAGAGAAAGAAATTGAAATGGAAATATGAGATTGAAAATATGAGCAATTAATTCAAGTGAAGGTTTACTGGAAAGCTCATGTATCAGAAGCACCTGAGAGACAGCAGACGAAGGCCTAAGTATTTGGGGTTCTTGCCACTTATGTGGGAGATCCAGATGAAGTTCCTGGCTCTTGGCTTCCACCTGGGCAAGTCCCAGCTCCTGTGGTCATTTAAGGAGTGGATCAGCAGGTAGAAGATTTCTCTATTCCCTATCTGTCTCACTCTCTCACTCACCATTTCAAATAAATATATATACTTTCAAAACCTAAAAAATATGCTAATTAGTTCATTAGGGCCTTTCTATTTGTTTTCACTTTGTTGGCGTTATCATCCTCGTATATTGAAACAGCCCTCACCTTTCTGCTGAAATAGCCTTCGAAAACGGCTCACAATCAGCTCACCTCACCTGTATCTGCCTTGTCCGATTATAGTTTGCTTCATAGTATATTTCATTACCTGATATCATTTCTGTGTTTATTCATATATTTCTTTAGTGTCTCCCCTAATATACTGTTCCTTCGACTTTGTCATATGTAAGGATGAGTTTAGTTTTAGACAATGTAGAGACACATATGAAAGCACGTGAGGAAGAGAGTCTGGAAATCAGCTGGGTCTAAGATACAGGTAAAACGTGGTGCTGCGAGGAACAGTGATCACCACTGAACTGCAAGAGAAATCAGGGACTGAAAACTCGCGTGATTCATTCAGAAGAGCAGGAAGCTGACTGGGTAGCTCGTGTCTTTATCTCCTCTGGATCACAAGCATTTTCTGTATTCCAAATGCAGATTCCCAGGCAATAATATTCCCAGGATGTGCTCCTTCCTGCACCACCTGGGCTCTTACCCTCACAGACGGTTAACCACAGTCGGATTTACTCTTACTTACCAATACACCATCTTCTCGTTTCTTCCTTCACAATCTTCCAGGGCTCTTTTCCTTCCTCCAACAATGTGATTACATCAGGCTTAGAAATGGGATATCCTGTTTATAAAGAAACAAGCTATGCAACGTGACACAGAAAGACACTTTTAGTTACAATGACAATAAATTAAGATTTTGGAGAAAGGAAGTTAAAGAAAAGGAAATCAGTTAAGCATGGTAAAGTTTTTATTATGATATTATTACTGTTTAAGCAAGCGTTTATGTCTCCATCTTTTCCTTGTTGGCCCCCATGATGCTGGACTTCAGACTGCAGTTTCTGGTACCAGTTTTCACCTTCACCACTTCTGCTCACTGTGCTCCACAGTTCTCACTTGAAAAATGGGGATAACAATAAGGTTGCGGGGTAATCAGCTCAGCTCTGACTGCTGCAGCCACCTGGGGACTGAATCAGCGGATGGAAGATCTTTCTCTGTCTCTCCTCTCTGCAAATCTGCCTTTCCAATAAAAAGAAACACATCTTTTAAAAAAAAGAAATAAACCATACCTATATAACTTTACCTATAGTAACACAATGCTAATTATTAACACTATTACTAATATTGTTGTTTGACTAACAGCACACAAGGAAAATCCCTACAGAATATTCAGTCCATTTTAAATGTAATGTTTATAAATTAGTCTTGTGTTTAAATGAATTTCTTTAATCCAATCCACCATAACATATAAATAATGCAGCTTCTTGCCATAATTGGAGTAATTCAGGAATTGCAGCAATTCCTCTGTCAAGGTGCTCTCCCTGCAAATGGATAAGATTATATAATAGAACAGCCACACTAATTCTGACTATCAACAAACAGGAAACATGAATGCTTTGATAATAGTTGTACAATATAATGGTACTTCAAGAAGAGTATGTGAAAACCAAACTCTTAGAAATTTGTTTTGGTTAAAAAAAAATGAGGCTTGAAATCCACACATAATACACATTTTTCATGATCTAGTTTCTAAAAAGATTTACTATTTATTTACTGAAAGAGAGAGAGAGGAAGGAGAACGAGCGTGAGAGATCTTGCATCGACTGGTTCATTCCCCAAGCTGGCGCTGGAGCGAGCTGAAGCCAGGCTCCTGGAAGGCCCTCCTGCTCTCTCATGTGTGTGGCAAGAACCCAGATATTCTGGTCTTTTCCCAGGCTTGCTGGCAGGAAGTGAGACCAGAAGCTCGGCAGCAGGAACTTGAACTGGCACTCACATGGCTTATCCCATTGTGCTAGAATGCCGACTCCTATCATGAACTTTTAAGTACCCTTGTAAATACCACAGTATCCTAATGTAGCTCTTTTTCATAAATGTGACAGGCAACTCCAAGGAGAAACAGATTAGGTATGAACAACACTGAAAGGGGAGGTGAATGTCTTCAATGGTGCTGGCATTTCTAACGTAATAAAACTCAAATTACTTTGGCACAAAGGGAAGAGGACATTGTGGTACAGCATGTTAAACTGCCACCTGGGGCACCTGCATCCCATTTATCAGAGTGCCAGATCAAGTTCCAGACACACTGCTTTTTATCCAAATTCCTGTTAATGCATCCCAAGAGGCAGCAGATGACGGTGCAAGTGCTTGGGCCCCTGCTACTCACATGGGGGAGCCAGCAGGTTCTGGGCTCCAACCCTCAGCCTGCCTCAGCCCTGGCTATTGGGTGCACTGAGGAGCGAAGCAGTGCACACAATATCTTCTCCTTGTTCTCCAAGTAAATGGCAACTAATTAAAATATGGAAAAGAAATCTATCTTCCTAGAAGGCAGCCTTGAAAAAGAGCAGAATGAAATGCAAATCCTTAGAGAAAAGATTCTGAAGTATCATAAACTATTTGAGATAGAAAACATACCTAGGGAGAGCAAGTTAGCATAGTTCTCCATCATCACATCCCGGTACAAGGTTTTCTGAGTAAGGTCGAGACATTCCCATTCTTGCTGACAAAAGTCTATGGCAAGATCCCTAAACGTCACTGATCCCTGAAATTAAAAAAAAAAAAAATCAGGAATGATTAGAGAAATAGAAGGCTGTTTACAAGACGGGTGCACAGGAAGGCAGCACAGGCCACAGAGAGAGAGCGAGGGGAATGAATGGCACATCCTTCAATGTCTGAACCATCTGGGGATAGAAAGGACAATGTTTACATGTTAAACAGTTAATGCAAGCATCCTGCCTAATTGGTACGTACCATACGATTTTTTCTTTTTACTGGGGTGGGTGTCTAGCCTGACAGTTAAAATGCTGCTTGGGATGGCTACACCCCATGCCAGAGTACCTGGGTGGCAGTCCCAGGTCCTCTCCTGATTTCAGCCTCCTGCTAATGCACACCCTGGGAAGCAGCAGGGGACTCCTCGAGTAGTTGGGATCCCTGCCACCCACTTGGGAAAGGCAGGGTTAGGCCTGGCTCCTCCCGACCCTGTTCTACCTTGCCAGCATTTGGGCACTGAGTCACTGGGTGGGAGATGTTAAGCTCTGTCGCTGTCGCTCTTTATTTCTACACCTCAAATAAACTGCGGAAATTAATTTCACTGAATATGAACTGCTGCAGAAAATTTTTGTTTTTAGAACAGAAAAAAATATATCACATGTTTTTCACAATGCGGTATAAACTCAATTTTTTAAACTATTTTATTGGCATAAAATAACTGTCTCAAGCATTAACTGTTTCACTATAAGCAGCTTTTTTTGTGTGTTTTACAAATTTATGTATTTGTTGGCACATGAAATTCTATTTTATGGATGTGCCAGATTGAATAACTTATGCAGTTAGGATGCATGTTTCTAAGTTCTCCTGCAAGCCCAGCATCCTATGTCCATCTACTGCAGAGGTGAGGAGTGTCTGGCATGTGGCCATAGAAGGCTGGCAAAATCCTAGTAAGGCAACAGCAGGCAAGACTCAAAATTCAAAAACTCTGTGGCAGTCTAGTTAAGTAGGTGATTATCTATTACCTAGGAATCATGTCATAAATATCCAAATTGCCTGTGGCAGAAAAACATTCCCCACCCCGATCTACTGCAACAAATGACATATATATATATATATACACATATATATATACATTCACCATCTCCACTGAACACAGGCATAAATTGAGTGTTACAGGCAACTTCTAGGTAGATTACCAAAGATCCTCTTCTCTTCTTTTATTATACATTTCTGAGATCTCCTTCACTTACATTCAGGTTGAACTCTTTCCTTTCAACAAGCAGAACAGCTAAAGTGTGCAAATATTACCTGCAATATAAGGATGTAAAGGTCTAGAAATTCCTTATTTCCATATTTCTTTCCCTCTTGGGGTCTTAGGACAGTAGGTACTGTGTTTTAAGCTATTTTACTGACAGATCCACATAAACATAAGCCAAGAGTGCTCTACAATCAGTAGCTAACAAGGAACTCTCTGTCCAATAAGCCAGAGAGGAAAAGAACTCTATTAACTACAGGGAGTGAGCTTGAAAGCAGATCCACTCAAAGCTAGGCCTTAAGATGATTAATGACCTTAGCAAACACTGTGCAGGACACCGACAGCCAGAGAAACAAGAGAGGCCGTGTCTGCATTTCTGACCCACAAAAATCATGAGATAAGGAATCAAGATGGCAGAATAGGGTAAGGACACATTTAGACAGAGAAACATTAGCCAGGGTGAAGCAGAGAGGGCACATTCCAGGAAACAGGAGAGGCACCTGGAGACTGAGACACAGGGAAGCAGTGGAAACAATGGTGTGCTGTTGCAGTGACCACATATCCCAGCATCATTCTGCCAGCAGCAATCTGCACCAGCAGCCAGAGCTCCAACAGTAACCAAGTAGGAAGGGGAGTTCATGATAAGCTCAATAGGTGAACATAGGCAAAGAACTGCCAGTCCTGATTTGTTTGATTTGACCAGGAGCAGCGAGAGAGCAGATCCCAAGCAGGTGGTGCAGGAACAGGATGGATTTCACAACCAGATTCCCACAAGAGCCGCAATGGATGCCATTTTGCGTAGCGAGGGAAAGGCCATGAGACAGGACTGTGTATGTACTAAGCTGGGACAGAACTCATTTCTGGCTGAATGCATTGCACTGGCAATGTGGCATCCTACAGGTTCCACCCAAAAGGGCCAGGTAGTCCCCAGACTTAACGGCCAGCAGATCAAGAACTCAACAAGTGGCACATCAGGTGCTATTTTATACAGTTGGCAAAGGCAATGAGACTGGAGGGACAATAATGAGCTACGCATGTGCTGAGCTGGAAGCCCACTAACTTCCAGCTCAGTGCATTGTACTGGTCCCACAAGGAAAATAATACTGACTTTGGCATCCTACTGGTCAAAATAGGTTTGGGTGGCCCTCAGACCTAATGGCTAGCAGGTTCCAGCAAGATCAGTACCACCAACAACCTAGTTATTTAGGACACCTGGCATCTCCCTAATCCTGGGAACTGCTTGAACCAGAAGTGGTAGAAGGTTGTAGTAACAATACAATGGTACAGCTTCAGCACAAATCACAGGAGGGAAAAACAGTGAATCAAGAGCTGGGGCTACGGAGACTATGGTGGAAGTCTAACACAAGAGCCCAAACCTGAAACTCGCTGCAGGGAGTGGCACAAGTGATTGCAAACAAAGAACTGGGTACCAACTGCAATCAGTAGAATCGAACTGTATGTCTGTGGGCCATAGCTTAGAAATCTACCCTAAGGAGAAGAATCTGCTAACCACAAGTACAATGACCAAGAGCAAAAGAAGAGACAGAGGCACAATGAATATTACTGAAGACTCCCCTGCAAAGGTTCAAAAGCCTTTGCCAACCTCAGAGTTAACTAAGGAAGACATCGAGAAAATGGGGGATACAGAATTCAGAAAACTCATTATACGTTTTCTTATCAACAATGAGAAGCACATACAGGAATTCAAGGAATTTAAGGAATATGTCACACAGGAAAGAGTAACATTGAAACAAAATCAAGCCAAATTTTTGGGAATAAGGGATGCAACAAAGCAAATTAAAAGTACAGTGGAAAATCTTTATAATAGAATGAATGACACAGAAGAAAGAATCTCAGAATTGGAAGATATTTCTTGTCACAATGGGGAAACAATCAAAAAGCTGGAAGCAGAGCTGGGTCAAGCTAAAAAAAAGTATTCAAGAATTAAGAGACACTATTAAAAGGCCAAATATAAGAGTTATGGGAGTTCCAGAAGGTGCAGAAAGAGAAGCTGGGTTTTAAAATGTATTTAATGTATTTAATGAAATAATAAAGGTAAATTTCTCTATTCTAGAGAAAGAATTGGGAAAAAACATCCAGGAGGAACACAAACCTCCCAAAAGGGTTGACCAAAAGCAATCTTCGCCAAGATACATGATAATCAAATTCTCTTCAATCAAACATAAGGAAAGATCCTCAAATGTGCCTGTTAAAAAAAATCAAGGGCCCGGCGCGATGGCACAGTGGTTAAGGTCCTCGCCTTGCACGCCTGGGATCCCATATGGGCGCCGGTTCTAATCCTGGCAGCCCCGCTTCCCATCCAGCTCCCTGCCTGTGGCCCAGGAAAGCAGTCGAGGACGGCCCAAAGCTTTGGGACCCTGCACCCATGTGGGAGACCTGGAAGAGGCTCCTGGCTTCGGATTGGCATAGCATCGGCTGTTGCGCTCACTTGGGGAGTGAATCATCGGACGAAGATCTTTGTCTCTGTCTCTCCTCTCTGTATATCCGCCTTTCCAATAAAAAAATAAATCTTAAAAAAAAAAATCAACTGACATATAAAGGAATGCCAATTAAACTCACAGGAGACGGGCCCGGCGCGGTGGCGCAAGTGGTTAAGTCCTCGCCTTGCACGCCCGGGATCCCATATGGGCGCCGGTTCTAATCCCGGCAGCCCCGCTTCCCTTCCAGCTCCCTGCCTGTGGCCTGGGAAAGCAGTCGAGGACGGCCCAAAGCTTTGGGACCCTGCACCCGTGTGGGAGACCCGGAAGAGGCTCCTGGCTTCGGATCGGCATAGTATCGGCCCGTTGCGGCTCACTTGGGGAGTGAATCATCGGACGGAAGATCTTCCTCTCTGTCTCTCCTCTCTGTATATCCGCCTTTCCAATAAAAAATAATAAAAATAAATCTTTAAAAAAAAAAAAAAAAACTCACAGGAGACGTCTCACAGGAAATTCTACAGACCAGAAGGGAATGGAGCGACATATTCCAGATTCTAGCAAAAAATCGTCAGCCCAGAATAAAGTACCCAGCAAAGCTTTCCTTGTCTTTGAAAATGAAATAAAATTCTTTCACAGTAAAGTTAAAAGAATATACCTCTTCCAAACTTGCCCTACAAATGATACTTAAAGATGTTCTCTTGACAGAGAAAAGGAATAGTGCCCACCAAAACCAAAGGCAAATGTGAAGAACATCCCAGCAAAATAACAGCACAAGACTAAATCAATGAACAACCCATTGCTAAAATGACAGGACCAAATTATCACCCATTTATATTTACCTTGAATGTAAATGGATTAAACTCATCAATAAAATATCATAGGTTAGTAAACTGGATTTACAAAAGAAAACTCATGTACTTGTTGCCTACGGGAGACACATCTCACGAACAAAGATCAGCAGAAACTACATTATGGATTTTGATATTTTTGTTTTTAGTTTAATTTCTTCAAAAGTTTTTTTTTCTCATATTAAGTTCTTCACGGATTCATAGTCACACAGTGGCATCATTTTCTTAAGAATGTTCTTGATTTTCCTTCTCTCTTTCTTTTTTTAAGGATCTATTTATTTTTATTGGAAAGGCAGATATACAGAGGAGGAGAGACAGAGAGGAAGATCTTCTTTCCAATGATTCACTCCCCAAGCAGCCACAACAGCTGGAGCTGAGCCAATCCGAAGCCAGGAGCCAGGAACTTCTTCAAGGATCCCACGCAGGTGCAGGGTCCCAAGGCTTTGGGCCATCCTTGACTGCTTTCCCAGGCCACAGGCAGGGAGTTGGATAGGAAGCAGGGCTGCCGGAATTAAAACCAGCGCCCATATGGGATGCTAGCGTGTTCAAGGCCACGACTTTAGCTGCTGTGCTACTGCACCAGGCCAGATTTTCATTTCTTCTGTGACACATTAGTAATTCAGTAGCATATTATTTAATTTCACGACATTGTAAATTCCTTTTTTCTTCCTGTTGCTTATTTTGCTTTTTGGCTTTACATTTAAGATGTATAGTAACTATATCTCAGTAATGGAGACTACCATATCCCGATGTGAGGATAGAATGCTATATGCATCTCTACTTCCAGATCAAAGATGGACTCCCAATGAAACTGTTTGCTCTGTCTTGACAATGGGATGCTGGACTCTCTGCCATTGTCTATGCCCACAATGATGGACTTATGACTGTTTATGAAGAATGATACTATTGTAATAATATAGGGGAACTCAGTGGTGGTGGGGTTAATTGGGGAGGAGGTAAGAAAAATCCCAGGGCCTATGTAACTGCATCATAAAATGATAATAATTAAAAAATGAAAAAAAATGTGAGACAAATATTTTCTGTTTTCAATCACTAGGTTTTAAAGCAGTTTATTATGCAATAAAAAGATAAAAATGTACTGCGTACAAGAATTCTGAGGAAGACAAGTTACATAAATATCCCTTTTTACCAACAATTATCATGTCACTTCTCTCCCAGGGATTTCTTGCCAAGATTTACAGCCTCTCAGTTTGCAAGTCCCAATCACCCACCAATTCATACAAATCACGAGATGTCAATCTATGACGAGATTTGGTCATTCAACCAATACTAAATTTTTATCTTCTTTACCTGGAAATGTCAAGTCTGTGTGAAAACTTAAGTTTCATCACAGAGGGTCAAATAAAATCAGTGCCTCAATCTCACCAAACTAAAGGCATCAACCTTGATTTCAAAGAACTTAACCACAGTGCTTGATAGAATGAGCGTGCAACACATGAAGTATTTGATCAGTGTGTGAACACTGCTATGTTTCAAAAGGGTCACAGAAGGATGCTGGATCATTTGCCATTATAGTTCACTGGGAGCAGCAGCAGTAGAAACTGCTCATTGGACGGATACTTTTTGGTAGGAAACCTAACAGGAATACTTACATGACTTAAACACATGCACATATTTCAACAAGAAGAGAAACATCAACTTACAAGAGCCATGGTTTTAGACATGGAAGAGTCTGTTCTCAGGGTTCCTCTCCAGATAAGCACAGATCCAGACTGCCAGAGCTGGGAGAAGAAAAAGACCTTAGGACCAGTTTTGCTTTAGTGTTCTGGACAGAAACTAAGTTATCACTATTGGTGTGACAATCTTCCATTCCAGGTTCCCAAATACTTCTTATCACATACACTCTTTGGATAGATTAAGGATCTAGAATAATCTACCTGCTTCTCTAATTTGCATGGATTCCTACATTAGACTGAGGCATTTCTGCATTAAAGACAGATCTGCTGGCAGGAAGTTCTCTGGTCCCTGAGTCACTTTGGTGGACACCTGAAATTGGGCACTAGACTCTTCTCCTGAGCAGGTCTTTTAACCTGACGTGAAAAGAGGCTCCAGCATTTCATCAGAATGCTTGCTGTGATTCTGGAATCACATGATTCTGGAATCATGAAGTTGGTTAAGACACTGAAAAAGCAATGCTTATCGCTTTGGTCTAGCTAAGCCTGCTAGCCAAACAGGTGATAGGAGGGAACCACAGATGAAGTTATGACTTGAGATGCTCACATCCCATAGTGCAGTGCCTGGTTCAAGAGCTGGCCACCCTGAGGTTTTTTGTTTGATTTGTTTTGTTTTGTTATTGAAGAGTCAGATACATGGAGAGGAGGAGAGACAGAGAGGAAGATCTTCCATCTGCTGATTGACTCCCCAAGTAGCTGCAACGGCCAGAGCTGAGCAGATCTGAAGCCAGGAGCCAGGAACTTCTTCTGGGTCTCCCACACGAGCGAAGGGTTCTAAGGCTTTGGGCCAACCTCAACTGCTTTCCCAAGCCAAAAGCAGAGAGTTGGAATGGAAGTGGAGCAGCTGGGATACAAACCGGTGCCCATATGGGATCCCAGTACATGCAAGGTTAGGACTTTAGCCACTAGGTTACCATGCCAGGATCACACTGAGTTTCCAATCCAGCTTCCTGCTAATGTGCCAGGGAGTCAGGAGATAACTACCCCAATACTTGAGTTCCCAAATACACACATGAAGCTCCTGGCTTTTGCCTTTGGCCTGACCCAATTCAAGCTATTGTAGGCATTTGGGGAGTGAAGCAGCAAATAAGAATTTTCTCTCTCTCAATCCTTCCTTCATCATATTGTACAAAGGTTTCTAAAGCCCTTCTTTTCTATGCACTTCTTTATTTAAGAGGGTGGGGTCCCAGGTGGGCCACCTCCCATAATAAAGTCTGTCAATGTTTGGGGAAAAAAAATTCTTTTTTTCTTAAGAGTTATGATAACGACCACAGATTAAATTGAAATATATGTTGTTTTTAACAAGATGTTCTCCAAAAAGAAGGGTGCTTCCCGAGAATGATTTGTTCTTTGGCTATTATTTCTGAACTAAATGATTTCTTATCAGTAGGAAAGAGTTCTGTCTAGAAAATAGAAAACATGGTCATATCTGAGTCATCTCTTCCATAAATGCATGATGATATCCCATACAATTTTATTCCAAGATTTTTTTTCGGCAGAAAGATTTGTTTCTAAACAAGTCAGCTAAGCCTCGATCTCCCTCAGATTCTGAATTACATTATCCTATTAGGCTCATTTTGCAACATGACAATTGAAGGCAAATCTTTTCTTTTTTAAATTTATTTATTTCTATTGGAAAATCAGACATACAGAGAGAAGGAGTGACAGAAACATCTTCCATCCGCTGGTTCACTCCCAAAGCGGCCTCAATGGCCAGAGCTGAACCCATCTGAAGCCAGGAGCTTCTTCCAGGTCTCCCATGTGCATGCAGGGTCCCAAAGCTATGGACCGTCCTTTACTGAATTCCCAAGCCACAGGCAGAGAGCTGGATGGGAAATGGAGCAGTCAGGATATGAACTGATGCCCATATGGGATCCTGGCACAGACAAGGCTATCACTTTAGCCACTAGGCTACCACTTCAGGCCCAGAAGGCAAATCTTGAAGCACAAGTTATCGTACAGAATCCATTTACTGCCATAATTTCCTCAGAATTGATATAATTTGTTCATAACCTCACTATTGCTATGAGCAAAATTAATATACCTTTCTAGTAAACTCACAAGGTAGTTACCCAAGCCTCTGCAGTAGCCTTCATCATACAGTCTGAGACTTAATCCTATTCATATTTTACCTTGATATATAGGAGGCTTAGCCTTGGCACCGACATTCCATATCCAGGAATTTTTCAGAACTATATGGAGCCATCCCAGTGGCAAACCCTCCACTGCAGATCCAGCTTCCATAGGGGCACAGTTTTAAGTCGTGGCTGCTCCATTTCTGGTCTCATTTCCTGCTAATGACCTGGGAAAGCCATGAAGAATGGCCCAGGTTCTTGGGCTCCTTCACTCACCTGGGAGACCCAGAAAGAAGTTCCTGGCTCCTGATCAGCTCAGCTCCAGCCATTGTGGCCATTTGGGAGTGAAGCAGCAGATGTATGACTTCTCTCAGTTTCTCCTTCTCTCTCTCTGTAAAACCTACCTTTCGACTAAATGTAAACAGATCTTAAAAAAAAAAAAAAGAGGGCCCGGCGCGGTGGCGCAAGTGGTTAAGGTCCTCACCTTGCACGCCCGGGATCCCATATGGGTGCCGGTTCTATCCCGGCAGCCCTGCTTCCCATCCAGCTCCCTGCCTGTGGCCCGGGAGAGCAGTCGAGGACGGCCCAAAGCTTTGGGACCCTGCACCCGCATGGGAGACCCGGAAGAGGCTCCTGGCTTCGGATCGGCATAGCATCAGCCGTTGTGCTCACTTGGGGAGTGAATCATCAGATGGAAGATCTTCCTCTCTGTCTCTCCTCTCTGTATATCCACCTTTCCAATAAAAAAATAATAAAATAAATCTTTAAAAAGAAAAAAAAAAAGAAAAGAAAAGGAAAAAGAGGGCCTGGTACAGTAGCTTAATGGCTGAAGTCCTTACCTTGCATGCACCAGGATCCCACATGTACGCCGGTTCAAACCTCGACTGCTTCACTTTCCATCCAGCTCCCTGCCTGTGGCCTGAGAAAGCAATGGAGAATGGCTCAAAGCCTTGGGATCCTGCAGACCAGGAAGTGAACCAGACAGAAGATCTTTGCCTTTCCTTCTCTCTGTAAACTTTTTTTTTTACATTTTTTATTATATTTTGACAATCTTTATATAATTAATTAGGGTAAAAAGGTTCAAGGGCTACAGGAAAGTGGGTAAGACTATTATTTTTTCCATATTGTTTCCTTCATATTTAAAGGGGGGTATTAAGGGAGAAGGCCCACCCAATTTCCCACCCTCCCCAGGTCCCAGATGTAGGGTATGCTCTGAGGTTCTTGCAAAAAAAGGTAAATCTTTAAAAAAAATTTAAGATGTATGTACAATACTTTTAGAATGAGCATTATTTTTAATTTTGATCATCAAAAACATAAATCTCTTACAACAGCAACATATTAAACATTATAGCATGCTGTACCATAATGTACAATGCCAGGACTAATAACAACTATGATCCAAATTAAATGGCGGGAGAATATTACCTACAGCATATGGTGGTTTCCACAAGTAAAATCATCCATATGAGCAGTGTGATGTGCTGAGTACTGTCAATTATCATTATTAATGGTGAAAATCATTCCATGTTCCTTTATCCTCTACCATACAGTGAAGTTAATTCTGCTTTCTTTTTTCTTTAATATAAAATCTGAGTTTCCTGGATTTTTTTTTCTTCCTGGTAACACCAGTGTATATCTGGGAGAAGATGAGAAAGACAGCACGAATAAATCTCCCCTCCCTCAGTCATCAGCAATGCCAAAAGCCAGGAAAAACTTCGCTAGCATGATAGATCAAAGAACAAAATGTGGTAAGATGGAGGATCTTGGTCTAAGAGGACCTAAGTGGGTAGAAATACACCACACACCTGGGCATCAGACACGGTTGTCATTTCTCGGAGAGCAACCTTAGAACTCGAAATGCGCATTTCTGAAAGGATGTCTCCAGGTCACCGAGTTTTAAAACAACTTTCCTAATGTGCAGAAACAGACTCTCAAGAACACTACACAGCGATCATACTTAAACTACTTTTCCCAGTTAACGACATTTTCTTTGGTGGCTGAAAGGAGGGCGAGAGTAGCAGCAGCGAGCCTTGCACGCTGGGCAGAGCCACGGCCACGCGCGCTCACGCCAGGGACGCGTTACCACGTCCCGGTGACATCGGACTAGCCTGCACCTCTTCATGTCAGTCACGCTGTCACCTCAGCACAGCCTCTCACCTCAGACACACCGTCCTCGGCAGCCCCACCGTGCGTGGGGTGTGGGGGGCGAGCAGACACGCCGTGACTGCGCTCGGACCCCGGCGTCCCCGCAATGTCCCCTCTGACCGCCACGCACGGTCCCTCGTGGGCTGCAGTCCCGGGCCACCTCAGTTCTCTCCGCCACCCGCGACGTCGAATCGGCCTCCAGGGAGACTCATTCAAGCCAAAAGATCAACTAGAGGGAACGGAAACGGAACCGACCCTGCGAGGTTTTCACAGTTTCCTCTAGGCAGTGTAGCCCGAGCTAAAAGAGCTAGAATCGCAGTACCCTATGGGAAATGTAGTCCTGGGTAGTAAAACGCCCAGGAAAAGCCCTGCTCTTTGCCGCACGCCCCGCCCATGCCCCAGAGCCTTCTGGGAGTCGCAGTTGGCGCGCAAATTGTCCCAAAGGTGGCGGTCTTGACGCGTGGTTGAGAGTGGTTGCAGGACAGTCTCCACTAGGGGAGAGACGGGGATTGGGAAGCCGCACCACGTGGTCTCAGGGGAGAACTGTCGAGTTCTTCTACTCCAAGTCCCGTGTGTGAGCGTCAACCTTGAAAAGTCTATGCTTTGACCCACGAGCCTAAATCTGGTGATTAGCTAGTTGGGGCGTTCAAATGTGCCGGGAATGGGTGCGTATGTGCCACGTGCATATCTGCATATGACCAGTATCTTCTCTGGAAGGATACACAGCTAGGTGAGCTACTGTGTGACGTAAACATCAAAGCAAAGGTTGCTTATCTTTTACCTTAAACCTTTTTACGCATTTTGAATGGTTACCGTATGTATGCATTACACATCTCAAACTTGAAATCATGAATTTCCTATTTGCATGAAGTCTTCACATAGACACGCCTTTCCAATAACACCTGCATCTGCCCAAATTTTGAGACTCTGGTCATCATTTCATTGCCTAAGATCTAGGAAACAAAGTAGTTTTCATAACTAGCCACTGCTATTGGGAGCCAGAAATATAATAGCTCACATTTCCACCCAGTTGATGGGGAATGTTGAGATGAACTTAGGAAAACAAAGTTATCAAGTTTTCACACCTTCAATCTATGCTCCCATCTCTCTCTCTCTCTCTGGTAACTGGTGTCATGGTAATCGACATATCCACCTACTTGGCATGCTGCCCACAAGTCTGTTATATAATAGTTTGGCCCTGGGCAACTGTTGTCTATGGGCTCATATAAGCAACTGGCAGGAGGGGGGTTGCATGCTAGATGCAGCTGCTTGTGGATGTGTGGCTGCATATATATGTAGTTATCTCTGTGTATGTGTTCAACCACTGCCACAGACACAAAGGCTGAGAGCTCCTATAACTCCATTACAGTTGGGGGCAAGTGGTTGTTGCATATTTCTCACCACCACTATGAGTAAAAGATACAAATCTACAACTAAGTTGTATATCCTGAGCATACAGCTTGTCATAGTCATTAAGATTCTTTCAAGTGCAGTATGGAGTCAGTGGGTAGAACTTGGAAGTGGACAGCCACAACTACATGGAGCTCAGTGGCTTTGACCTTGAGGGCTAAGGAACCCCCTCCCTACAAGAGTGGGCTGGAGAAGACGACTCCTCCAGTTGTCTAGACAGCACTGGGTGGGCTTGGGAAGACATCTAAGCAAGATAACGCCCAGATAGCAGCAGGGGTCTCAAGTGCATTCTCCTAAGTGCCTCATGGGCAGGAGGCAATGCTGCAGCACAGGCTGAGACCCAACGGGGCCTGCTGAATGCTGAAGAGGAGGCAAAGTAGGGACACCCAGACGATGGCTCATATGTGGGTTGGGACCTTCTCACTGCTTTGTGGCCCGAGGATACTACTGAGCTGTAAGCAGATACCTGAAAAGCAAATCTCACACCTCATGGAAGAAAATGGAAAAAGGCAACCTTGAGAGCAGCCATGAAGAGCTCCAATGCAAGGCCATGCACTCTCCTGGGCCATCTGAGGAAGGGCTGGAGGATTGGAGAGACAGCCACAGTGGTGCAGGCACAGACATGAGACCTAGACTGAGGCTGCCCAAATCGAGTGGTAGGTAGAGGGACTCCAGCTCCTGGGGAAGCAGCCAAAGACCAAAAGCACTGAAAATTACCCTGCTGCCAAAACAGCTGCTGGGAGTTTGTGAGGGTATGTAAAGCCTGGGGTCAGGACACCTGCTGGGATTGGTTCCGCCACCTTTAAGTTAGAAGCCGCAGGCCTTTGGGATCATTTGTGGGCAGAAGGAAGGGAAGTCCTATCCTATCCTATCCCAAATGACCCCATCCCTGCCATGAGACACATGGCAATAGCCCCTTTGAGATTCCAGGAATCAAGCACCCAGGCTTGCAGCATCATCTCTATCCAGTAGGGCAAGGCCAGTCAGCTATGCAGGTGCTGTTGGCTGGCCTCTCCTTGACAATGGACACAGTGATGGCCATATCTGCAGGAGGCTGTAACAGTGGCTTCAGATGGAAACCTAGGATTGCAGAAAAGGTGAGCTTCAGCCAGCACCACACCACTGCCTTTCCATGGTGGGGAGTGGACTGCAGCTGCAATGGCAATAACATGGACAGACCCAGGCAAATGCTGAGGGGTACAGCAAGGCTAAGCACTCTCCTGGGGAAAGCTACTGGGCACACAACCACAACACCTATGGTGAAGCGTGCCCAGGCTTTCAGTTCTTCATAGGGCAGTGGACCGTGATCCCCCGAAAGACGAGATCTAAAACCTAGTGGTGATGTTGCAACTGCTGGAGCCCAAGAACAGCCTGTGAGAGGCAGAGAGCAGATGCCATAGCTGATAGGAGATGGAGACAGAGGAAAAAAAGAAAAAAAAAACCCACCACACAGGCCCTGGAAGGAGATGTTGCCACCCCTTAGGCTACATCTAACACAGGACACCACCTGGCAACCGTAATGGAAGGATCCCCTGGTGGAGAGGACAATGATAAACTTTCAGGGTTATTGAGGGATTCTGAATTTACCCACTTATTGTGTACAGGGGTAGGCAGGGTTCTGCTTTTGGGGCTAAACCCTGGACAATCAATGTTTTCGTGCAGTCAGCCTCGCAGCTGCATCCTAGCACCACCTTACATCATGATTTAACATGACATGGTATGAACTCTTACAGATTTAAAGCCATGTTTATTTTGATGAGCCCTTGAGAGCTGGCAAATAGATTTTATTGGACTTTCGCCCTAATCAAAATGGAAACAGCATGGCAAATACAACCACCTTGGGGGCCTGGACACCTGTGCAACAGGGACCAACTGGTCAGCCTATCGAATGTGCAGTTGTATGTCAGCTTTGCAGTTGGGCAGCCCTGGGAGGTAATCATGGCCACTGACCACACTGGACATGGTTATTAAACTACACTTGGACCCTTGTAGAGACTTCAGTCTATGAGCAATGCAATAAAGCCCAATCAGGGTTGTAGTATTCTGTTACATCTTACAGCTTGCTACTGTATCTTGTACTGGATGTGATATTCCACACCCTATGTATACTCCTTGCATGTGTAGAATTGGGACCTGAGGCTTGCACTCTTGTCCCTATCTCTCTCTATGGTAACTGGTGTCATGGTAACTGACAGGTGCACCTGCTTAGCTGGCTGCCCACAAGTCTGCTATGTAACACTTTGGCTCTGGGCCACTATTGTCTGTGAGCCTGCATAAGCCCATGGGGACGAGGCTAGAAGCAGCTGCT